TTATGAGAGGATCGGTCAGGTAACACATCTGGCCTGTTGTAGTCGGGAGGTTCAGACTGCATTAAAACGGCTCGAGTGCATCAGAGAGAGAGAGAGAGAGAGAGCTGTGTGTTTTCACTGCATGCAAATCACATGCACAACGAAAGAACAACTATTCTGAGATAACATTTCACTGACTAGCCTTGTGAAAAAGAAGTGTGCTTAATTGTATTGAATGTGCACTTGTATTATACTTCAGATGTTGAAAGTATATATATCTTTTTTATATTGTGTTTGCAGATAATACAATAATGAAATGAAAGGCCAAAGTACATTTTCACAACTGTTTCTTAACACACTTAAGCACACTTTTTAAAAAATGCACTTTGTAATAACATTAAATTCAAAGTGTTTTAATCTTTTGTTGTGCTTTAAAGAAGTACACTTATTTTGATGTGTTGACTACCATACTAAAGCACTTGATTAAATAACTTGATTACATTAACTGTAGTGTGTTATTTGATATAACATTTAAAGTAAAATTTGAAATGTAATAAACTGCAATTTCATCATTACAGATGTGAAATCACAAATACATTTAAATACATGACATACAAGTTTTGACAGAAATGACCTTTAAGTATGGTTTAGTTTACCATAAATGCTTGCACATTTGGCAGAGCACTTTAATCATATTTCAAACACAATAGAGTTTATTATGAAATTACATCGAAATATGCACTTAGGTCCTATTTTGGGGGTCAAAAACTACTTGCATTTAATAGAATTTTGCATAATGCACAATATAATTGCATTTAATGCATTTTAATTTCATTGTAAATAACATGCATTTAAGGGTCCAAACATTTAAGTTAGCATATATTATAGAAAGTTCTTTAAACACATGCTAAAGTGTACTTCACAAGGGTATAATCATCTTTCAGACTTGCAAACATGCTTTTCATCCCGTTTCGAAGCTAGATTTTGACATTTGTAAAGAAATTGTGAGTGGTGTTTGCATGTGCAAAACTCAAAACACGTTGCTAGTGTGTTGCAATACATTTGCTAAGATTGTCTGGGTGGTTTTACTGAATTAAAAGTGTTTTTTTAGGGTGTTTTGGTGGTTTCTTACTAGCCCAAGTCACTATGGTATTCAGTTTTTTCCCATTTTATCATCCACCAGGTGAAAAGCATCAGCTTGGATGATTAGACAAGTAACAACACACCTCAAGTACGTAGCATGCATACTGCAGAATGAGTTATGACAAATGTTATACTTTGGTTTAAAGCTTTGTTCAAATCACTAACCCTAAGTATATGCTATTCAGTGGAGCTTAAGTTGTATTTATCCTAGAATATTCCTTTGAAATTGAGTTTGCTGCTTATTTGACTTGGATTTAAAAACCTGAGCTTTCGCATGACTTGCAAAACAGTCGTCTACATAATGTGTGTGCAACCCAGGAAGACCAAGTAGTTTATTCAGTTAGCAGGCTTGAACTTCTTACCTTGCGACATGGTAAGCTGCAAATTCTAATATCCTCGGCTTACATTGTTGTGGACAGTCGCTGAATGATATATGACTTTATCAAAGAAACCTGTTGAAAAAGTTCCTGCTTATTTGCCTTGAGGGTGGTTAGCATGTGTAAACGTGCCCGAGCGGCAGAGACGAGGAACATTTCAACTTATTCAAGAGAACTAATTTGTTTACATTGTATACGGTCCAAGTTTGTCAGTTGCCACCTTTGGAAATTGATTATGAGAGAGAATATAGCTAATCTTCCGAAATCTTTTAATCATTTAAATGTTGAGTTATTGACTGCAGTGTTGAGTATTGTTGTTCTTGACTGTCAACTGCTGGAGCTGTTAATACAATAGGTGTCGTCAAAAATCCCCAAATAAACATTATTCGCATCAGCGCTGAAGGGTATAACGGTATATACTGCGTGATGGTAGAAATGTCCCAATTTTGCTTGGGTGCCATCACTCAATCAACAGTAATGACGTCATTTTCATATCAGCCTTCATTTGTTGCATGAATGTTATATTTTGGTTTGCATCCATCATGTTCTAAATAAAAAGGGAAAATAATAAAATAAAGCACCTTTCATTTGTAAACTATTTAATGCATTGGATCACACACACACTCAGCACTTTGCTTTATGATTCCATGACAGTGATGCATGTGACATTGGCTGCAAATGTGTGTGTGTGTGTGTGTGTGTGTGTGTGTGAGAACCACCTGCTGTTTGGTGAAATGAATGAGACTGTAGAGAAAAGGAGGGGTTTGGATGACTGTGTGTGTGTGTGTGTGTGTGTGTGTGTGTGTGACAGACTGAAAGGGAACTACAAAACTCTGTTGCTTCCTATTCACATTAACATATAGAATCTCTCCACACAGTATATTGTCTTTTGTTAAGTCAAGCATCACTATTAGTGTTACTCATCATTTGGCTAATGATCTGAACAAACTAAATGATGAAATTCCCACAGATTTACAATGAAGATGAACCTGAGATGGAAATATCAGAGACTTTTCACTTGGAGCAGTAAGCAACCACCTAGAAACCACCCAGATCACCATAGCAACACCCTAGTAACGGAAACCGCAAAAATATTGTTTTTGATAATGTTGTTCTCTCTCTCTCTCTCATATATATATATATATATATACTCCATAATATTTTATGGCTTTATAGCTATAATTCCCATCTCAAAAAAAAAAAAAAAACCCATTAAAGGACCTCCAGATCACAATTTGACAAATTCTCTGATATTTCTTGTCTGGAAAGCCAACCATAATCAACAATCAATGTTTAAACCTTCAAAAGTAATGCAAATCACCCAAAACATTCAACATTTGATCACAACAGTTTCTTCTCTTTACAAAAGAATGTTTGGTTGTAATCAAAGACGTTTAGAGCATTGTCTGATCAAAGTGAGGAGTTTATGTGAAGTTCAGCCCACTGTCGTCGGGCCTCTGACCGTAACTGCGCTGCTAAAGCATTCCTGTACACTCAAATCAACAGTTGTTTTGGGAAAAGACAGACTAGAGATTCAGAAGAAAAAAAAAAATTCTCCAACTATGATCAATAATGGCAGTGATGCTTGCCTTGTTGCTATTAACATTGGTAAGAATGTTGCACTATTAAAATTCATGTTTGTTTAGAAGGCTTCTTTTCCTATATATGCATTATAGGCTTTTCATACCTTTAATCCTGAGCAGTGAAAAATTCCTTGGCCAGGACTTTGAGCCACAGTCGCGACTGTCTGATGATGTGGCAAAGTGTTAACTGTGACAACGGCTCTTCGCTACTGATCACATCCAGTTGCGCAAGACTCACAAGACTTCGGGAATCCCTCTATTGGCGCTAGCTAAATATTTTGCTCATTACGGGCGAGGTTATCTTCCATCTGGAAGCAGAGGATCGGTTGACAATTCAAAGCAGAAGCGGAGTTCAAGGCCTCCAGCCTCACCCTAAAACCGAGGGGTTAACACCGGCCGGCCCCTAATGAACCGAGCGCTGATAAACTCAGGAAGAGCTGTGCTTCCTATGAAAATATTTATCATTCCAGAAACCTTTGGCTACAGAGGACTTTAGGAATTAATTCATGTTTTCTTAAGAGGGGGCGTCTCAGGATGGGGAACTCGGGCCTCCTCGAGCAGGAATTGTGCAGCTTATTCACAATTTATTAGGGTTAGTAATCAGAACCATGATGGAAAGAGAGCTCAGAGTGAGACCTGATGTTATTATACACTAAAAACGAGAGCGTTAAATCGAACTTGCCCCTGTGTACATGACCTTTGATGTGCTGTGCGTCTAACATTTTCCAATGGGGGAAATAATCTAAATAAGTGTTGGGTGCATTTATGTCTGATTTCAGCCTAAGTCATTTGTGATCTGACCTATCCATAAATGGCTTTGAATAAATTAACAAAAATATCGGCATGCTACCAAATGGAGTAATGCACATACTCCAAATCTCCATCGTCATACTGAGAATAAGAATCTGACTCCATTTTCAAAGCATGTGAAATGTGAATGCAAAGAGAATGGTGATCATTTTTATTTATTCATTTTTGTGATAGTCAAAGAGGTTTGAATTTGGTTCTTTTAAAGTCTAAACAGACTGGAAAGTGACCACTTCAATCAGCAGCAGGAGATTTATTATTATTATGTGTTTAGATTATTTAAAGAACGCAGAAACCAAAAAAAAAAAAAAAACGAATCTGAAGAATCTATAATAACACATCCAGATTTTTAAATCTATTCATCTATCTATTAAATCTATTTTACTCTACAGAGCCAAATATAGTTCTTGATATAGCAGATGTTTCTGAAGTTAGTAACTATTCAAGATCCTCGTCTTCATTTTTAAGAGTATGAACTGAATCATCTCAACTAGAATCTTCTACTCAATTCAAACTATAGCACGATTAAACTTAGGCATTTTTTACATTGTTTGATTAAAGTGTTCTGCAATAAATAAATATAAAATAAGAATACAATCAATAATATGAATAATGCAAGTATCTGTTTTTCTTAAATAAAACAGAAATACTCAATGCACTGCATTCAGTACTAGATCTAGCCTTTATCTGCACTCCTTTAAAAAGAGGGTTATAGGGTTCCTGAATTTCTATATGGCTCTAAAAATAGTGATGTTTCTTTATTGGTTCTTCAGATCAGTGTTTAGGTTTCATTTAATGCACAGGGAAGGGCAAAAATAAAACGGTTCTCCCATGGCATAGGCTACCACTATAACACTATTGTGATCCTAAATGAAACTTTATTTTAAAGAATGTATTTAAATATCTGCACCTTCAACCCTCCTTTCAACATTCCCAAAATGTTAACAAACGCGTCCTTCTGCACTTTCCTGTTTTTAATAGATTTTCTAACAACATAACTCATAGTATGAAGGATGCATAGTGCATTATAAAGACAGGAAATATTACCTGTTGGTAATTGTCAAATACAACACACAACAAGACAATATCAGTGAGTAAACGATGCACTCACCATATCTGAAGCAAAGCAAATAAAAAAAACGGCTTTAAGTTCAGCAAAGTTTCCTCTCCATCCTGCGTGATGCGCGTTGCTCAAAGCGCCGACAGACGGAGATAATGTCGCATCCCGCCGCTGCTGTTACATTCGAATTTTGAAAATGATCCGGCTGCGCGAGCGCTCAGATCGCAGTGTGTTCGAGAGCTCTGGCGTGTGTGTCTGGTTCCCAGCGTGTGTGGCGAACTCGAGTGCGCACTAATGTGAAGAAACGTTCAATAAATGAGCGAGCTGAATGAAGTTCCTCCTCCTACTGCTCGAGTCCTCAACGCGCGCGTGCAGCTCCACCACAATGAGACCATCCTGCTCTGTCTTTGCGCGCGCGCAGATTTATCTATGCATGGATGGGCTTAAGTTTAGAAAAAGTACCACACTAATATAGCGAAACGTGAAGAACAGGCATGAAAGGCCATTTGAATTACTCTTTAATGCTTTATAAATCAGCCATATAACTTGTTTATTTTTATTATGTAAAAGTTTCTAAAACTGCAAAAAATTAATCTACATTGTTTAAAAACACACTAAATAATGTCTTACTGGAAATGTATGAGTACAGAAAGGGTTAGTTCACCCAAAAGTGAAAATTCTGTCATTAATTAGGCTACTCACTTTTTTGCACAAAGAAAACAAAAATAATGACTTTATTCCACATTGTCGTCTCTACTGCGTCACTTGTGGATGTGCGTATCATGACACTGGATCTGGGTCAGCGCCACCACACTCACGCGTCATGGTACTGTTGTGAACGCACGTCCACAAGTGACGCAGTAGAGACGAAAATGTGGAAAAAAGTCGTTAATTTTGTTTTCTTTTTGCAAAAAAGTATTCTCGTAGCTTCGTAACTTTACAGTTGAACCACTGATGTCACACGGACTACTTTGTCGATCATCTTGGTACTTTTCTGGACCTTGAACGTGGTAGTTACCTTGCTGTCTATGGGAGGGTCAGAGAGCCCTCAGATTTCATCAAAAATATCTTAAATTGTGTTCCGAAGATGAACGAAGGCCTTACGGGTTTGGAACAACACAAGGGTGAGTAATTAATGACAGAATTTTCATTTTTGGGTGAACTAACCCTTTAAAGGTAGGGGACAGACAATATATTTAGCTCAGTATAAAAACAATGCAGCTCAGTGATAGGAAAAACAAATGTGTGATTGTGAAGGAGATTGCCTTTCTGAAACTTTATTTCAATGGTTTAAACACAAGTATGAACCCCATAACTGTCAGAAAAGTTATTAATGTATGTTTCAAGGGAAGTTACAGAGTAAATCCTGATGATCACATTTAAATGATGATGATTTATGTCTTCATTATTGCACAGTGTTCATACTGTGTTTCAGCAGATTTACATTCGTAAATTGCTATGAATGAAGCCTCACACACTGTGATGTAAAAAAGTAACTAGAAGTCATATACTATGTATGATTTCCAGGCAATGTGAAAGAATAATTAAACAATAGTTCTGACCTATAACTGTAACGTGGCTGACGAGACGTGAGACGTGCGGATCCATGTGCAAGCTTTATTCACAGGCGTGGTCAGAAACAGGCATGGGTCGTGACCTCTGATGGCTAGCAGACGGAAGTTCATGGACCGGATACGTAACAGAGCCCCCCCCCCAAAAAGCGGCTTCCAGACGCTCCAAAACACTTTACGATTCCGGAGGGCATGGAGTGGAGGCGGAACAAGGGGGAGGGATGGAGGGCAGGTCCACCTGGAAGTGGAGAGAAGCTAACGAGGGCTCTGTAGAGTAGCTATCACTGCTGGCGATAAGCGCATACAATACTCGGCAGTTAGAAAGGAGTGAGATTGAGTGTTAAATAGTGAGTGAGTGATATGAAACAGCTGTGTGCAATCAGTGCTGTGTGCAATCAGTGCAATGAATGATGGGATATGTAGTCCGGGATGATATGCAACAGTGTGTAGTGCGAGAGTCAATGAAAATGGAAAGGGTGACCTCTGATGGCTAGCAGACGGAAGTTCATGGACCGGATACGTAACAATAACGGGATAAACATGCTGATTTTTGTTCCTCTTTTGCATAGTTCCCTTTTATTATGAGCAGTAAAGTGAGTTTTCTTTGGAAATGGACAGTGACAGTTTGTTTCCAAAGTTTCATTTCAAAAGCGGTTAAAAGAGAAGCATAAATCACCATCATATCGTTATCAACAGAAATGTCCTCAGGTATTACAGTATGTGTGTACATTTTCATTTGCATTAGAAGTGTTGTGGTGTTTCATTATACTCATGTTCATACTCATGTTCATCATATGTACTTAAATGTAAATATACCTTTATTATGAAATACTACATTTGATAGCGACTCTCAATTAAAATGTTATTCTATATAAACTATATTGTCATTGGAAACTATGTGGATGTTACATGAATAAAAAGTCAGAATTGCGAGATATAAACTCTGAATTTGAGAAAAATGTAGAATTCTGATTTTATATCTCACAGTTCTGTGTTTATGGAGAAATTTCTCCGAATTGTGAAAATAAAAGTCGCAATTACCTTTTTAAAAAAAAAAAATTTTATTCCCTGGCGGATACAGGTTTCCATAAGATCTATTAAATCTATTAACTTGTATTCATTTTTGCAGTTATTACTTTGGTAAACATTAGGTGAAGAAAACAAAATATTCAGGCCAATCAAGTTGTTAATGGCATTTCCTCTTTCGTTTACTGACTAGTTTCCCAATACATACCAGATTTGTGAGGTGAGTCTGAACTAGTTTACAAGGCTTGTAAATAATCTGATAAGACATTTGTGTGAGCATCTCAAACAGTGATGTTGAAAATGCCTTAAAGATATGTTGTTATGAGTCCTTTGTTTATTCTCAGCAGTTCTGCAGCTGATGTTTGAATGAAGCATCTCAAAATACAAATGATGGGGGCTTGTTGTCACACAGGAAGTTGTCACAAGCACCTTGAATCAAATGTGTAATTGTGCAAATGCTGGTTTTTACAGTCAGTGGTTGTATATGCTGGGTTCAAACACCTAGTTTAACTAGTTAATTATATTTTGTATCTGAACTGTTCAATAGCTTTTTTGCAGTTAAGAGTTTAAGTTTTGTGTCTGTGGGTTTAAAAATAAACTGACATAAAAAATGTGACAACTAGCCCCGGTCTGTCTATTAATGCAATTAAAATCAAAGACAGATATCAGATTGTGGTGCATGTAGTTGTAACAACACTCTATATCCGGGGGTCAAATCAAGTTCACACTTTATTAATGTAAAAAGAAACATTATACAGTGACCATCATCTGGTTACAATAAGCAGTGATTCAGATGTGTGTGTGATATGCTAGTGGATTAGATTTATTTACAGAGATGGCAACAGTCTGGCTGCCGAGACAGAAAGGTAGAAAGAGTCTGAATGCAGGCGAGCAAGAGTGTGGATGAGGAAAAATCTGGTAACCTTACCTATGACTGTAGTTAAGTAACGCAACCCAGACACGAATTTGTCTGGCCGTGATTCATTTTCGCGAGGAGGGTGGCCGATCTCAACGCTTTCTGTGGAATGTGCGGCTAAAAAAGAAAATAAAAGCAGCCATTGTCTTTATCTTTATTCTTCTCTTGGAGTTTTGTTGAGCCGGTCAAACACGCTGTGAACAGCAAGAGATCAGGGAGAGTTTCCTCTCAATTCACCAGTTCACTTCTGTCTGCCATCCCTCACGAGCAAAGAACTAGAACCCATTTCCAAAACATCATGTACATTTTCCCCAAAAGAGATGAAGTTCGTTTCTATTTAAGTCTGCATTTAGCTGATGCCAGTACTAATATTAAAACCATAAAGCGGTAGTGAATATATTTAGTGAAAAAGCAGAGCATAAGCTTAAATTGCTTATACTTTAATGAATAATGAATAATGTTGAAAAAGGTTGTTTCACCTCTTTTTCAGATGATTTTCCCCTTGAGGATACTTTTGACTTTTGGGGTAGCCACTTAACACCTGGAACACCTTAGCAACTACCTGGAATCGGCCTAGTAACATCCTAAAAAAGACTCAGAACACCTTAGGCACCACATAGAGTAGAAATCCCCTGGCAACCACTCACTACACCTTAGCAACCACATAGAAATGTGTTTCACACTACACTGAACCTCTCATAAACCACATAGCAATGCACCAATGACCTCTTAGGACACCTCGGCAGCTGCATAGGAACACCCTAGCAACTGCATAGCAACAAACAACAAACCACTCAGAAGACCTTTGTAATCTTTAGCAATCTTAGCAACCACATAGCAACATGGTAAAAACACTCAGAACAGCTCAACAGCCACACAGCATTGCCCTAGCAACTGCATAACAACATGATAAAAACACCTTGAACAGCTTAGCAACCACACAGCAGTGCTCTAACGGTCGCATAACAATGTGCTAAAAACACTCAGAACACATTAGAAACGACATACAGTGGGTACGGAAAGTATTCAGACCCCCTTAAGTGCTCTAACGGTCGCATAACAATGTGCTAAAAACACTCAGAACACATGTAGCAACGCACCAACAGCCTGTTAGGACACCATGGCAACTGCATAGTAACACCCTTAGCAACCACCCAGAACAACCTAGAAACTGCATACCAACATCCTAAAAACTACTCAGAACACCTTGGAAACCACATAGCAACTGGACAAGCAAGCAGTCTCTTAGGAGACCATAGAAACTGCATAGCAAGATCCTGGCAACCAGACAGCAACAAACTAAAATCCACTCAGAAGACCTTAGCAACCGCATAGCAATACCCTAGCAAATGCTTAACAAAATACTTAGGACACCATAGCAACCACAGTGCAATGTATTAGCAGCCTACAATCTACCCAGAATACCTTAGCATCCACATAGCAATACCCTAGAAACTGCATAACATACATGTCATTAACCAACTGCATGTGTTTTTTCCCCCTGTATATCTGCCATATGGACATCACTTTGACATAGTCACCACTGATAAGCTACTCCTAAATATAATGTAGAAACTAACATTTTCTGTGAAGCTGCTTTGCAACGATTTTATCGTGAAAAGCGCTATACAAATAAACGTGAATTTAATTGAATTACAAAATTCTATATCAACCGCATTGCAATGTCTTAGCAACCACAGTGCCTTAGAAACCACATAGCAACTGAACTACAATCCACTCAGGAGACGTTAGCAA